CTACTACGACTAAGACTACGACTACGACTACCACCACCACCACCACCACCACCACCACCACCACTACTACTACTACTACTACTACTACTATTATTACTACTACTACTACTGCTACACTTGCAACAACAGCAGAAACAACAACAACAATCACAACCACAACCACAACAACCGCAAAAACAACAGCAGCAGCAGCAGCAGTAACAACGACAACGGCAACAACAACCACAATAACAACAGCAGCAGCAACAACAACAACAATCATGTTAAGACTGTTCGCTCATCTCTGCTCGAGTGTCCGTTCACGCGAATTTCCCAAACCCTCGATACCCACCCTCTTCGTATCCGATCGTACCCTTTTTGGGCGGTATACCTTTCTTCCCTGCAGGCCGGGCCCGGGCAAGCGGCGGGGCGGCCGCGGACCGTCGGCCTGGCCAGCGGCAGCACTGATTGGCGTCAACCCGACCCAAGAGGGACGGACAGAGGACCAACCATGACCAGAACGACGACGAGCGACGTCGACGAAGACGACGACGTCGACGAAGACGACGACGTCGGCGACGACGACGAGCGAAAGTGACAGCGAGAGAGAGGACGACAGCAAGGCCACGAAGGGCACGAAGTAGGCCACGAAGGGAGACAGCGAGGACACGAAGAGAATGCGTATGGGGCCACAAAGAGCGCGAACGAGGGGGGGCCACGAAGGGCAGATAATGCGGGGCCACAGAAGGCAACGACGGGGCCACTGAGGGTAGCAACTGGGCCACGTATGACAGCGAGGGGGCCACAAAGGGCGACAGCGTGGCCACGAAGGGCATGCACATGGGGCCACAAATGGCGCGAACGAGCGAGTGCCAAGATGGGCATACGCATATTGGGCCGCGGAGGGCAAGGACGGGGCCGCTGAGGGCAGCGACGGGGCCACGAAGGGCAGCGAGGGGGCCACGAAGGGCGGCACCGGGGCCACGAAGGTCATGCATATGGGGCCACGACTGGCGCGAACGAGCGGAGGCCACGAAGGGCATACATATATGGGGCCACGACGGGCAGCGGGGGGGTCACGAAGGGCTGCAACGGGGCCACGAAGGGCAGCGAGGGGGCCACGAAGGGCGGCACCGGGGCCACAAAGGGCACCGAGGGGGCCACGAGGGGCTGCAACGGGGCCACGAAGGGCAGCAAGGGGGCCACGAAGGTCTGCAACGGGGCCACGAGGGGCAGCGAGGGGGCAACGCAGGGCAGCGAGTGGGCCGCGAAGGGCTGCAACGGGGCCACGAAGGGCAGCGAGGGGGCCACGAAGCGGTGCGACGGGACCACGAAACAAAGCGAGGGGGCCACGAAGGGCTGCAACGGGGCCACAAAGGGCAGCGAGCGGGCTACGAAGGGCTGCAACGGGGCCACGAAACAAAGCGAGGGGGCCACGAAGGGCTGCAACGGGGCCACGAAGGGCAGCGAGGGGGCCACGAAGGGCTGCTGCAACGGGGCCACAAAGGGCAGCGAGCGGGCCACGAAGGGCTGCAACGGTGCCACGAAGGACAGCAAAATCCCGATTTCTAAATAATCTGTGAGGAAGTCCTAAGCGTGAGCGCGACTCCAGAGCGCCGAGAGACCGATTCCTGAGTAAGTTCTAAGGAAGTCCCAAAAGAAAGCGCGATTCCTGAGTAAAATGCGAGGAAGTCTCGGGCGGGAGCGGGGGTCCTGGCTAAATGGTGAGGAAGCTAAGGCGGGAGCCGTTGTTGAGGAGGAAGACTTTCCTTGATAAAAAAGGGTGCGAGCGCCGGGACGGGCACTCCAATTGACAAAACATACAAATGTGCACTGGAGGGGGATCAACAAATATTATTCTTCAGCAGTGAGTTCAACAGCAACAACAACAACAGCAGCAGCAGCAACAACAACAACAACAACAACAACAACAACAACAACAACAACCACAACCACAACCACAACCACAACCACAACCACAGCAGCAGCAATAGCAACAGCAACAGTAGCAGCAACAACAGCAACAACAAAAACCCAGGCTGCGAAGAAAGCACGGCGGCGTCGGCGGGGGGATGGATGAAGAGGAGGAGGGATGACGAGGGGGAGGAGGGAGGGGGGGGGCTTGCTATTGTGTACTCCAGGTCTGTGGTCAAAGAGGCTCCTCAAGGTCCTGCAGCTGGCAACTGTGGAAGAGGCAAGCGGAGCGCATGGGGTGGGGAGCGCTTTTGATGGACAGAAGCATGAAACCCAGCCGTCAGCTGCAAGAAAAAGAACCCACTGCAAAGGCTTCCTGGCGTACATACGCACCGTTTGATTAATCTCGCGGACGAGGCGGCCGAAAACCGGGCCCAGAAAGCCCAGCTACCTGTTGCTGTCCAGCTGACGATCCTGTGTGCCGAAGAGGAGGCTTGGAAGGTTCAGAAACTGTTGCCGCATGCAGGCATGCACGTCGGAGCTGTATTGGAGCGTGTCGCGAGCAACTAGGCGAGCACAGCGAACGAAAGCGCCCCATGCAGCGGCGCAGGCAGAGACTGTAGCTAGGCAGAGCCCCCAACATCTTTAAGCTCTGGTTCTACTAGGTGCACGACCTGATGGCACTCCCCAAGCTCAGGACAGAACCGAGTCGCCTGGTTTAACACGGATTGTCCTGGCCGCCCCACGGCTTTTGACCCCTCGCACGACCTCCAGCTGCAACGAGCGCGTGGCTTTTTAGGAAGGAGCGTGGGCAACTGCCCAAGCTTTAAAGATAGGAGGTCGCTGCCCCAAAGAAGCGGGCAAACACGGCAAGAGGGTGAGAAGCTGCGGAGACAGCTGGGAGCACGCGTCGCGGATAATATCAAATCCGCTGGCCCCTTGGGGATCGTCGGCGTGTGAGATGCGTCCCCCTCCCCAAACCCCTCCCCCTGGAGCCCGGCCAGGTCGATTTGGAGGGGGGGGCCATCCGCCCCGAGCTCATCAGGGGGGTCCGGCCCTTCGGGGGCTCCTTGTGGAGGTCCGAGCCAGCTTCTGGGGCCGCCCAAGAGGCCCCCATGGAGACGGTCCAAGAGGGCCCCGAGACGCCGAAAGATCGCTCCAGGACGCCCAAGTGAGATGCTCCCCCCTTCCTGGACCCCTCCCCCCAGAGCCCGGTCCGGTCGAACAGGAGGGGGGGGGGGGCCGTCCGGCCCGAGCTCATCAGGGGGTGTTGGCCCTTCCCAGGCCCCTTTTGGGTGTCCACGATGGCCTCCAGGCGGCCTCCGAAGCTGCCAGGACGCCCCAAAAAGGCCCCCAAGATGCGCCCAAGAGGGTCCCAAGAAACAGAAATCGCCCCA